TTAACATCTTGGGTGACCTTGCTGCAGGGGTGGGTTTCTCACCCTGTTCCAACTGGTTCGGTTGAAACGGGGCCGGCGGCGTCCTCGTGCACGTGCGCAGTGCACGCATGTGTACTAGCATCTGTGCGATGCCCCAGCTGCTCCTGGAGGGTCGCGCAGGCGCTATATGCGTCCTGCGCATGCGTGGAAGTGCATAACTCGTCAAAACCGGGTAAGGAGCGCAGGCGGGTGGGTAGGCCCTTCGCCGTTCCCGGAAGTTACTTACTTCCGGGTTCGCCGACCAACCGGTTCGCGGGGACCGCCGCGAACCGGTTGAAACCCACCCCTGCAGCAAGGTCACCCAAGATGTTAAGGCGCTCACATTTGCCCTGCTAAATCTGTTTTGGCAGCAATGGTTTAGGAAGATGATGGAGGTACATGATCACATTACTGACATTGGCAAAGGCATCAATTCATACTTTATGGGAGGAGCAGACATAAGTAAACCAGTTCTATATTTTCACCAAGATAACCATATGGATAGAAACTCTTAAGAGTCAACAATGACTTGATGGCACGTAATCAATTAAAAATGTTTGATTATCTTAATTAAATCCTTTATTGAAGCACTGAGCATTGCATTTGAATATTAACATTTTGATTCTTATGGAAAACTTGGGAGATTTATTATATCATTACAAATTTGTTCTATAAAAATATCTACATTCTCATCTCTCTTACTTGAACATTGCCGCTGAAATTACATGAGCATATGTAAAATCAAATTCCCATCATTCAGTTCATAAGATCATCACTAAAGGGTTTAAAGCAGGGATCACCAACCCATGGTCTGTGTACCGGCACTGAGCCATGGCGTGCCAGCAATTGGGCCATGCAAACAAGCGAAGCCCCATCTGCGGGATGCAGGCAACATGCAAAGCTATGCCCCCTCTGGTCTGCAGAAAACACTTTCTCCATTGAATCAGTCCCTAGTGCCCAAAAGGTTGGGGGCCACTGGTTTAAAAGTTTCCCTGTCCAGTTGAGACCATTCAGGGGGATGATGCTCATCTCTGATTCTCAGCCAGGGGTGAAATGCTCTGAAGTCTGCTACTGGTTCGCTTGCATGTACATGGCCACCAAACTTTTAAAAACTTTTTAAAGCATTTTTTTTACTTCCGGTTCTCCCAAACTGGTACTTTAAAAATGCTAAAAAAAGTTTTAAAAAGTTTAGATAATCAGCTGTGCCGTCCGATCGTCGGAATTTTCTTTTTACTTTTTAAAGCATTTTCTTTTACTACCGGTTCAGGCGAACCGGTAGCATTTCACCTCTGTTCTCAGCCTAGGGAGTCGGTATTGTCTGAGAGAAACTCGTCATGCGGCCAGCATGAAAGATCATCATAATGTGTTGAGAATGGACATGATATTTAAAGTTCTTGATTCAGACAAAAAGTTAGTTAAAAATCCACATCTTGATTTAAAAAAAAACCTAATCCCCCTTTTTTCTCATTTAAACTTTCAGAGAATGACATGGGATCTGGCGATGGTAATTCCGTAGAAGAGGATTTTGTGAAGGAAAAAGACATTCACTCTCCAATCATGAAATGGCTGAATCCTCGCTGATATTAGCCTATGTGGGTTAGATTTCTAACCCATGCTTTCTTCTAACAGTGAATGTTCCACAAACCACTTTAAAACAGTAGATCTCTTGCAGAGGAAATTGTAATTTTTTTTAAAAAGAAGATCCAGTTTATGTATCTTTGGGAAAAGATTGAATTTCAGCAAGAAACTGTGTACAGTGTACATGATTTTTAGAATATCTTCTGAATACTAAATGTATCATGAATTCTTGAATGTAAAATATAGTTGGAACTTGCATATTGCTGCAGCTTACCTATATATTGAAAAATATATATCTCTTATTTTTTAACATTCTCAATTCTATACATCCTGCACAAAATATTTATTCATCAAAGAACTGAAAATGTATGGGGGATAAAAATTAGTATATAAATTGTCTAGACTGAAATCCTAATTTCAGGAGTAGAGTAACAATAATACAGGTAATAGCTGTTGAATATGGAACCAGTGTCGATTCTGAATCTTATAACATATTATTTGCCAGCAAGTCCAGTGAATACAGTAGGATTTCCTTTTCTATGAAGCATTCAGAAAATTTACTTTACAGTCACAATCTTATTCGGAGCTAAAACATAGACTAAACAACATTTTTTTACTGTTACCAATTAGCTTTACCCACATTTAGTTCTTCTGACTCAGATACAGATAGGTCTCCCCTTCATCTCTGAGTTACTACTTTAGCATTGCTAGCCTCAAATATTAGTTTTTTCCTGTTGAAATCAAGAAGATGGTAAAAGCTTTATGAATGACTGGTCTTAACAATTACCTTCCTTATGAGTAACTTATTTCGTGAAAATTAAATTGCGAAAGCTCTGTGTCTCATAATGTATTTATTGGGATTAAATTCATTATTTTCTTTTGCGATCAATCAAAATTTAGTCTGGCTTGAATTATGTTGCCTTGAATCGTAAAGCTGAACTGTGTATCTGAAGATTGCAGTTCACAATAAGAGTGCCAATACAATCAACATTACAGAAGTGCAAACACTTGCTCTCTAAGTTAATGGATCATTTGAAGGCAAATATGATTTGAGGCTCCTTCAGGAATTCTGAGCTGCATAAAAAGGAGAAAGTTGCTTGTGTGGTTTGGTGGGCAGGATGAAAGAGTTTATTTAAATAGTGTTGTGAATATTTACATGAATATAACTCTTTCGTTGTTTGCTTTGCCAAATATGATGAATCCTTCAAAGTTGTGTAACTAACTAAACGCTATTACAATATAAGACTGTATTTCTATAGTTGTTACTTTTCATGTAATTAATCCCTAATAAAATGGATAAATCCTATTGTTTCCATATTCTGAGTTCTGTCCATGTTTAATTTAATTCATTTAAATTAATTTAATTCAACATACATACAGCTTAACCTTGGGTATGCAAATGTGCTCCTTCATTGTGATATTTTTACACCAAAGGCAAATATATAGTTCAGGTGGGGCTATCAGGCATCCAGTCAAAGGTGGACATATTTTCCTTTTTGTCCTCCTATCCTCTGTCCAGCAGGCATAGCCTTAAAGTCAAACACTGTCCGGCTTTTGAGTGTCTCCTCTATAATGTGAAGTGGGCCTGTACCATTTTCACAACAACAGTCATTCATACTTTCATGTATTGTGAGCTGGTAAATTGTCTGCTTCTTTTTTTCTTTTCTCATTCCACAGACTCGAGGGCTTAGATATGCATAATTTATTTCCTGGTTCCAGCAATTAGCTTTAATCCAGTCCCTTCAAATTTATGACCAGTGTAGTCTCTAGACTTGTACGTTTCTTCAGTGAACTTTGAAAAGTATATAGTTGTCAATTCTATATTATTGCTAGCACATGTTCTTGAAAATAAATATATCTTGGAAAAATATTGCAATTGAAAAACCAGTCTTTCCGAAGCTGGAGAAAGTACTTTCATATACTGTACATGTTAGCCTAATTCCCCCCCCCCCTTTTTTGTATTTTTTGTCCTTTTCTCATTTGACCTCCTTTCCAATCTTACATCACAGGCAATCTCATTATTTTGAAACGGGATGGCAATTTGGGAATTTGAAGTCCTAAACATCTAGAGCACGTGCTGGCCCTGCCCCCACCTGGTTTAGGAAAGGAGGGGGAGTTCCGATACATCACTTGACACGTGATCTAGAGGGTGGTAGATTGGGAAAGGTTGAGGCAAATTGTTATATCTACTCAATAATTATAGAAATTTTGTTTATGGCATATTTAAATTCAAGAGAAAACTCTCTTGAATTCAGTACAGGTCAAAACATATACACTAAAATAAACATCTCAGTATAGTTATAGGTTCCATGAAGTTATTTTCCACTTTACACTAGGAATGTTACTAAGGGAGGAAGGGAGAGAAAGATAGAGAGAGAGAGAACAAGAAAGAGAAAAAGAGACAGAGAGAACATGGCTGGATTTATTCAATTGATCAGTTCTGGCATAACATAAGGTATGAATTCAGTCATTGTGTTTTGTAACATGACCTATGGCTTAATATGGTATATTAGCATAGCTAATTATGATTAATCAAAACAATCTTTGTTAATCAAACCATAGCAGGGTGTGTGCTAGTCTGCTATTAAATGGGAAGTTAACAAAAGAAACCAAAATCAAACCATAGCAGGGTGTGTTCTTTGAACTCAGCCCATGTCTGACATGAAAGTGAAATGTGTGACAATTGGGTTGTGGAAGTACCTTCATGTTACTTAATTGTGTCAAAAATTCCTTAGAAGATCTACTCACATTGAAGTTGCAATAACAAGTAAAACTTAGCCTTTCATTGGAACAGATGTCTTATTTTATAATCATTTGAGACATGCTTATACCAAAATCTGTGGAAATAGAAAGCCCATCTATGTTACTGAAACATCACATATAGTACTTGATCACACTTTTCAAAAATGTACTCTACACCTACCTCTATCAGATTTGGAAGTTTATACTATTCGCTCTGTTGTAACTTGAAACATTGAACATGGTAACCAGAATTTTATGTCAGGCAAGAAGACATAAGAACAGAGTGTTAAAAAACAGAAGAAAAGCCTAAAAATGTTACAAGTTGCAGACTAATGTATAGAATTATATCTATTTTAGTATACGTGAGTGTAATTCAATTAATATCACAATGAACATTTTGACTTTAACACCCCCTAATTTAATGAATAAGCCTAGATAATACAAAGTACTGGCAATCTTTAGATAATCCAGACTTTATGAACATACATGTTCTCCATTTTCATGTTTTCCCTCAGGATTAAAAATCACCTATTTAGTGTCAATAATTATCCTTTTTTGGTCACCAAAGAATAGCTTAATTCTAACTGTCCCAATATACAAGAAACAGGCAACAGGCAAAATTCAGCTAGGTATTTCCAATGTCAGTAATTAGCAAACTCTATGGCTGTTTTTTATACTGTAAACTTTTAGATTGGATGTACTGAGGAAAAATCTTGGCCCCTGTACAAGTGGGGTTTGGATATTCTACAATGGATGAATATGCAATTTCCTACAATGTACAGTTAGTCCTTGATTTGTAACCATTTGTTTAGTGACTAAAGTTACAACAGTGCTGAAAAAGTGACTTATGATCAGTCTTTGCATTATAAATGTTGCAGTGCCCTGCAGATATGTGATCAAAATTTGGATGCTTGGCAACCAGCATGCTTTTACAATGGTTGCAGCATTCTGGGTTCATGTGAAAGCCACTTGTGACCTTCTCAGGGGGCGTCCAACAAGCAAAGTCAATGGAGGCCGGATTTATACAACAACCTCAGTGATGTGCATGACAACTGAAGTAATTCACCTTAATGACCACAGCAAAAAAGGTTGTAAATTTGGGCACAATTCACTTAATGACCACATTGCTTAGCAACAGATGTTCCAGTCCCAATTGTGATCATAAGTCAAGGACTAGCTGAAAAATACTCTATCCTTATTCATGGCATCTGTTATGCTGCTTATATTGAGTTAGGGGCAGCTTTTGACTCTATTCCTCTATTCCTCATGAGAGACTAGAGAGGAAACTAGCATCCATTGATTATCACTTTCTCAAGCTGATAATTTTGTTATATCCAAACATACAATGCAAATTATAGGCAACTCTAATAGTGATTGAACCTCTCCTGTTCCTATCTGTGCCTCTTTTCCCCCCAGCTTCAGACAAATGACATAATTGTGACCCTTTCTAAACCAGAATCTCACCCTCTCTTGCCCACTGTCCTATTTCAATTCTCTTGAATGCAAAAGACCTGGCCATTTTACCTGTACCCCAGGTGCACCTTAACAGATGCTTAGCCGATTTAGTGTCTTATTGTTCTAAGCAATTTATTGAAGTCAATTTCACAAAAACCTAGGCTCCAATTTTCTTTGGAAACCACTGTAAGTCTGCTATTAAATGGGAAGTTAACAAAAGACCAACTGAAGAAGTTAAAGATTTCAAGTGCCTAGAATCGACATCAACTCTCCATCCTGTGGAATAAAAAACTTTGTGAGCTTTCTACAGGTAGTCTTCAACTTACAACTGTTCTCTTAGTGACCATTCACAGTCATGATGGACTCCCCAAAAGATACCTACTATCCAGTTCTGAAGTTCCATGTTCTATGCTTATGTCCTCGTTGAGGTAGAATTTGTTTGCATTTCTCTTGGAGCCCACATGAAACTGAACTAACTTGAATTTTGGGGAAGAAATCTATGGTTCACCCTACCCTACTGAATGGATTTTAAAGAGTCAAATTCTAATTCCGATCTGGCATTTCTGGTCTCTCATCCCTTATAGCATCATCATTCAGTCAAGATAAAGCCTTAAATGAACTAAAACAAAGTATTTGGGATTAAGATCTATAAAATGACAGGGTCAAAATCATCCAGCCTTCTAATGGCACAATTGAAAGTTCTCCATGGATGACTCCTAGCTATCTCCATACTGTAACATCCTGGCTGTTGTGGTCTGCCAGCAGACTCAGACAGTGAGGAGGTTGGGAAAGAACATGGGCCAGTCCTGGAGTCCGGGGAAGGCTAAGGATGAGTACTCTGCATTGGAGGCAGAGATAGGACCAGGGCCGTCCGACAGTTATCAGCTGCCTTTGGAGTCGAAGATCAGTGGGGCAGAAGAACAGCTGGAGCCTGTTCCCGGTGTGGCATGTGCAGAGCTGCCAGAAGAAGGGAATAGTTAAGGAATAAGGATCAACTCAAGAGTAAAGGCACAGGTGGACAGTGAATGGCCACTCCCATAGGGAATAAAGAGGAGCGAAAGAGGAGTGGAGTTTGCAGGACACAATTTGTTTGTTTAATTAGTGTGAAGATTTGTTCATAACTCTCAGAGACACCTTGCCAAGTATTTTCTTGTACAGCGTTGCATTTGGAATATATCAGCCTGGCAGCTCTCCAACCCTGATAAGGTCTGTGGTTGTAAATTCACCCTTGAAAGACTGTTTGCCGGGACTTTCCTAGATGCGAATGAGAGGAATTCACATTAGCTTAATAAAAAGGGGTTTTGTCGGGAGAAGGAGTCTGCTTCATGATTTTGTGACGCATAGGTCAGAACCCTGGCTCAGATTGGTGCACTTTCTATTACAGAGACCTTAGGCAAATTTAACAGTCTTCCATAAAAAAAATGTATGTTTGTCTGTTACAGAGACTGAGTCAGTGATGTTGTCAGGATTCCAAATAACATCCAAAATTAAATCAGAGTCCAAGACAAAGTATTGCTCAAAGTTCCAATTTATTAAGAGCACATCTGGGAAAACCCGTATCTGAGCTTCCTGGGTTTTCCCCACCCAGTTGAGAGTTCATGATCTTGCCCCACACCCACAAGCCCATCGCATGGTCAATCTTCCACAGCCATGCTGGCAATTCCACCCATCCAGTTCTGGTCAGGTGCAGAGGTGTAGAGACAAAGGATGACCTTGGATTCTAGAAAGGAATTTTATTTGGACAACATCACATTCTACTCCTTACTATTCCCCCTCCCAATTCCCCACTAATGAAACAGCATAGTAGAATAGAATATTAGTGTGGCAGGCCAGAGAACCCAAAAGGAACTGGCTACATGCCTGACACATGTATTGTTACACTGCCCATTGTAGCACCCATGATGTCTGGTACTCATAATCATTGGATTAGCAGAAATTTTAGTTTTTCTCTGAACAAGAAATTACAATCTTCCTTTTGCAAGACCTAACTTTGACAGCCACTATAAAGGTTGCCAGGTTTCTATATATAACTATGATTTACAGAAGCTGGGTGATATACACTTCTCATTAATTGTTTCACATTTGCTTTTCCCCCTGTATTTTAAATTTTGTACTTTCCT